AAGCCACCTCACCTGCCTAATTTTTATATTTTTTATAGAGATGGGGTTTCACCATGTTGCCCAGGCTGGTCTCAAACTCCCGGCCTCAAGTGATCTGCCTACCTTAGCCATCCAAAGCACTGGCATTACAAGTGTGAGCCACCATACCAGGCCTGGAAAATCTTACACTAGTTTTCTTTTCCTTGCAAAACAAAATTTGTGCAAAAACTTTAAAACTTTAATTTCAACTTGAAGCTCCATTTCCATAATTAACCTATTATTTTTAATGATCTTCTAATATTTTAAAAAATAACAAGCAAAGCTTTCTAGGGAAGACTTCATCTTTCCCCTGAAGAATTCTAGCATGCATATACAGCAGCTGCCCTCACTGCACGCTGTGGAACACTGATTCTATTGGATGTTAACAAATGTACTAAGGAAAAAAAACCCAAAAAACTGGTTCCTTACTCAAGTAGATTGGGAAACAAGATTAAAGGAGATTTTTTTACCAAACCATTTCTTGTTGTTTTCATGTTATACTAACAGCACAAAGACTCTCTCGGGTGTGTGTGCAGAATATAATATGTAGAATTTCTCAAATTTATCTAATCTTGGAACCATCCTCAGCCTAGTCCTGATGTATTCATTTTTTGGAACAGAGTTTCACAAATAATACTATGAGGATTCCTAGGATAAAGAAATAAATGATCCAGAGTACCCCACTGAGGCCAAAGCAACTTTTTATTTTTTTTGAGATAGAGTCTTGCTCTGTCCCCCAGGCTAGAGTGCAGTGGCACAATCTTGGCTCACTGCAACCTCTGCCTCCTGGGTTCAAGCAATTATCTGCCTCAGCCTTCTGAGTAGCTGGGATTATAGACGTCTGCCACCATGCCCAGCTAATTTTTTGTATTTTTACTAGGGATGGGGTTTCACCCTCTTGGCCAGGCTGGTCTTGAACTCCTGACCTCATGATCCACCCGCCTCAGCCTCCCAAAGTGCTGGGATTACAGGTGTGAGCCACAGCACCTGGCCTAAAGCAACTTTAATTTAGGTTATAGTTTACACACTTTTATAGCAAGTAGGGGAGTATTTAAATAGAAAGAATATATGATTCAAATGACTAACAATGTTTTCAAAAGTGTTCATTTAAAACTTATTAAAGCAGGGCCAGGTGTGGGCTCATGCCTGTAATCCCAGCACTTTGGGAGTCCAAGGCAGGAGGACTGCTTAAGCCCAGTTGTTGGAGACAAGCCTGGGCAACACAGTGAGACCCTGTCTCAAAAAAGTAGTAAGTAAAAAAAATTACATATTAAAATGTGGCCGGGCACAGTGGCTCACGCCTTTAATCCCAGCACTTTGGGAGGCTGAGGCAGGTGGATCAAGAGGTCAGGAGTTCAAGATCAGCCTGGCCAATATGGTGACACCCCGTCTCTACTAAAAATACAAAGATTAGCCTGGTGTGGTGGCACGCACCTGTAGTCCCAGCTGCTTGGGAGGCTGAGGCAGAAGAATTGCTTGAACCTGGGAGGCAGAGGTTGCAGTGAGCCGAGATCGCGCCACTGCACTTTGCCTGGTGACAAAGCGAGACTCCATCTCAAAAAAAATTTTTTTTTTTTTAATTAAAATGTAATAAGGCGGCCGGGTGTGGTGGCTCATGCCTGTAATCGTAGCACTTTAGGTGGCCGAGGTGGGGGGATCACCTGAGGCCAGGAGTTTGAGACTAGCCTGGCCAACATGGTGAAACCCCATCTCTACTAAAAACACAAAAATGAGCAGGGCGTGGTGGCGGGCGCCTGTAATCCCAGCTACTCGGGAGGCTGAGACAGGAAAGTTGCTTGAACCTGGGGCGGAGGTTGCAGTGAGCCGAGATTGTGCCATTGCACTCCAGCCTGGGTAACAGAGTGAGTCTCTGTCTCTCACACACACACAAAAAAGTGTAATAAGATTATCTTGAAAAATAGACAAAATTGCATGAAAATCATTGCCCCAATACAATGTATATCTGTGTTTATGTTTTATTTTGCATAAGTATAGTTACAGTACATTCACATCTTGGTATTTGTTTACTTTCAATTTAATTTACTCACATTCGCTAAACATTTATTCCATACCTTCTATGTTCTAGGCAGCAGGCTCAAAGATAATATATAGCTTCTGACCTTAGGGGATTTAGGGTAGCCTATAGAGGGGTAGAGATAAGTGCTTAGGGGACGTTAACAAAATGCAACGTGGTAAGTGCTATTATGCAGAATATAATGCAACAAAGAGGAATGCCCAGTAGGGTCAGAAGCTTAAGATGAATATAAGGTTCATCAGAGAGAACATGGTAAAGACAAAAAGCAGAAAGGAGCAAAAAATCTATAGTTAGGTCTTCCTACAATCAGATAGATACACATTTTACGATGGGCTGGAGAGGCAAAAGACTTCCATTTCTGCCTTGTTTAAGCAGTCTGCTATGAACACGTTTTCAAAATCAGAAAACAAAGTGGAGGTGGCAATCTTCAGCCTCTCTACATCACTATCATCTTCAAGAGTCCCAACTGTTTAGTTGGCCAAGGAAGCCTTTTTCTTTTCTTTTCTTCTTTTTTTTTTTTTTTTTTTTTTGAGATGGGAGTCTCGCTCTGTCGCCCAGGCTGGAGTGCACTGGCCGGATCTCAGCTCACTGCAAGCTCTGCCTCCCGGGTTCACGCCATTCTCCTGCCTCAGCCTCCCGAGTAGCTGGGGTTACAGGCGCCCACCACCACGCCCGGCTAATTTTTTGTATTTTGAGTAGAGACGGGGTTTCCCTGCGTTAGCCAGGATGGTCTCGATCCCGTAACCTCGTGATCTGCCCGCCTTGGCCTCCCAAAGTGCTGGGATTGCAGACGTGAGCCACCGCGCCCGGCCAAGGAAGCCTTTTTCAACTTTACCTCCCACAGCATCTCCTTCCCCCCAACTCCAGCCATATCAAATAACTTGGAGTCAAAGAAATACAAATTAAAAAATAATGTAGTACCAATTCAAACTATTAAAAAAATTTTACACTGTGAAATGTAAATGGTGCCATTTATCCTAGTGGGCATTTTAATTCTTTTTGTTGTTGTTTGCAGAGACAAGGTCTCACTATGTTGCCCAGGCTGGTCTTGAACTCCTGAGCTAAAGCAATCCTCCTGCCTCAGCCTCCCAAAGTTCTGCGATGACAGGTGTGAGCCACCATGCCTGGCTCCTAGTGGGCATTTAAAATGAAAATTCTTTAAAAACATGCATACTCTTTGATCCAGCAATTCCAATTTCACTTCTAGGACTATAACTTTAGGAAACAAAACATACAGATATGTTCACAGCAACACTGGTTATAAAAGGAAGAAAAACAGGAAACAAATGTCCAATAATAGGCTAAATTATGAAAAAGGTATACAATTCAATACAAAACCCAATCACTTTAAAGAATGACATACATTATTTAATGACATGTCATTAAAAACACATCAGTGGTGTGATTTGGCAATGATGTAACACATCATTAAAAACACCACATATCCTAGCACTTTGGGAGGCCCAGGCAGGCAGATCACCTGAGGTCGGGAGTTCGAGACCAGCCTGACCAACATGGAGAAACCCCGTCTCTATTAAAAATACAAAATTAGCTGGGCGTGGTGGCGCATACCTGTAATCCCTGCTACTTGGGAGGCTGAGGCAGGAGAATCGCTTGAACCCTGGAGGCGGAGGTTCCAGTGAGCTGAGATCGTGCCATTGCACTCCAGCCTGGGCAACCAAGAGCAAAACTCCGTCTCAAACAAACGAACCAACCAAACACCACATATGTGGTGGGCACTAATCTCACAAGCCTTGAAAATTGGCAGATTATCCAACTTTTACATGAAGAGGCTGAAACACAATTGATTTAACTTGCCCAAGGTCATACAATTTTTAAGTGGTGAAACCAGGATTCAAAAGGAGGCCATCTGCTGGGTGCAGTGGCTCATTCATGCCTGTAATCTCGACATTTTGGGAGGCCAAGGCAGGAAAGTCACTTGAACCCAAGAGTTTGAGAGCAGCCTGGGCAACATAGCTAAACTGTCTCAAAAAAACAAAAACAAACAAACAAAAAAACTGGGCGTGGTGGCACGCCCTGTGGTCCTAGCTCCTCGGAACGCTCAGGTGGGAAGATCGTTTGAGCCCGGGAAGTCGAGGCTGCAGTGAGCCGTGATAGCGCCACGGCACTACAGCCTCAGCAACGGAGTAAAACTCTGTCTCAAAAAAAACAAAGCCAAAACAAACAAACAACAACAACAACAAACGCAGGCTATCTGAATACCGAGCCCATGTCCCTTTCCATGCCCACAATGTCGCCTTGCCTTTGTGCAGAATGTGGTTAAAACTGTTTACCTCGCAAGGTTACTGTGCAAGTGAAATAAAAGAAACACCGAGCTCCTGGGACACAGTGGACATTCAATACTCAGAAACTACTAAGGAACTTGCTCAAGGTCAAGCTAGGATTTAAATCCAGGATTTGAATCTTTTGTTCCAGGGAGCGCGTAGGAGGTTAAGAAGCTTTTCTTGGCTTCAATTCTTTTTTTCTTTCTTTTTTTTTTTTTGAGACGGAGTCTCACTCTGTAACCCAGGCTGGCGTACAGTGGTGTGATCTCGGCTCATTGCAACCTCCGCCTCCCAGGTTCAAGCGATTCTCCTGCCTCAGCCCCCTAGGGAGCTGGGATTACAGGCGCCGCCACCACGCCCGGCTAATTTTTTTTGTATTTTTAGTAGAGACGGGGTTTCACCATGTTAGCCAGGCTGGTGTCGAACTCCTGACCTCAGGTGATCCGCCCACCAATTCTTAATGCTGAGTCAGTAGGGACGTTCCTTCAGCCCCATGAAGTGCACCTCAGAGGTCAGGGAACATATAACAAGCACATTCAAAAAGGGAGCGCGCGGAAGTGGCTTTAGGAAGCACCAAGTCTTGCCTGCTTTTTTTTCCTCCCTGATTTTCTAAATCCAAACCGGGACTCTTCAACCCGCAACGCCGCCAATTTCCAGGGCGGAAATGACGTCTGTATTAACGCGCCGGAAGTGTATTTGCAGAGTGCGACAAAGTGGGGAACGCCGGTGGGCCTGTTGCGGAGTACGCTTTGGAGTGAGAAGCTTCGCGGCTGTAGCACGCAGCTGTTGCCATGACGGCCCAGGGGGGTCTGGTGGCTAACCGAGGCCGGCGCTTCAAGTGGGCCATTGAGCTAAGCGGGCCTGGAGGAGGCAGCCGGTGAGGCACCTGGGCAAGCTGTACATCCCTGTTCGTCCCAGAACTGCAGCAGAGTAATGAGACCTGAGCCCTCAGGCATAACTTTGAAAAAGATGGGTGGCACACAGACATCACCTGGGGACGTAGCGGCTTTCCTGCTGTGAAGGTTTCTGTGCTCAAAGAATGCTTACATCAGTCCTGATAAGTCAAGGGACTGAGGAACACACGAGGGGGCTTGGTCTAATCTGAGTAGGTGCATCTGAAGATCTTTATTCCTATGATTGGTAGATCAGGAAATGTGGGATAAGAAGTGTCGGAGTTTGCAGCTTTAATTTCTTGGTTTGGTTTTTTAGGGGTCGAAGTGACCGGGGCAGTGGCCAGGGAGACTCTCTCTACCCAGTCGGTTACTTGGACAAGCAAGTGCCTGATACCAGCGTGCAAGAGACAGATCGGATCCTGGTGGAGAAGGTACAGAGGTATAGATGTTACCGCAGTCCTTGGGCCAGTCCTGACTTATTCACCCATCCTCTTCTCCCAGGTGGAATTAACGTAGATAGCTCTTATCCTGAATATTTGGAAACTAAACTGCTTGAAACTGGTATTTCGGTATTTTATATATCACCTACAAAAGTGCTTAACAGTTTGAAAAATAAAAGATGTTTGGAACATAAGGTGTAAGAAAGTAGGTTGAAAACTATCTTTTGGTGGCAACATCTTCCAGTTGAAGTGATCTTTTTCTATTCTAGTTCCCTTACACCACACATCCAACTGTCAGGATGTTGTTGACTTTCCTTACTACTTTTTGCTGTGTTCACCTCTCATCCCGATCCAAGCCACCATCCTTCATCTAGATTTCTGCAGTTGCCTGGCTAATTTTTGTATTTTTAGTTACAGACAGGGTATCACCATGTTTGCCAGGCTGGTCTTGAACTCCTGACCTCAGGTGATCCATCCGCCTGGGCCTCCCAAAGTGCTGGGATTACAAGCATGAGCCACCATGCTCTGCCCGGGGCTATTTATATTTCTTTCTAATTTCTGCTGTCATTTTGTTACATTTTTTCTAGGAAGTTACCGATTTCCTAAAATTTCAAATGTATTGACATAAAGTTGTTCATAATAATGATCACTTCCATATATGCAAGATCTGTGATGTTCGTTTTTTCATTCCTGATGTTGAATATTTGTCTCCTCTCCTTTTTGGCTTACCAGTATTGATTTTTTAAAAGTTATTTTCATTTATTTTTACAGGTCACTGTACCCATCACCAGTATTGATTTTATTAATCTTTTCAAAAATTCTTGGGTTTTTTTCTAGTTTCTTGAAATGGATGCTTACTTTATTTTTAGACTGCCATTACTTTTTTTCTTTTCTTTTGAGACAGTCTTGCTGTTGTCACCCAGGCTGGAATGCAATAGCATGACCTTGACTCACTGCAACTTCTGACTCCCGGGTTCAAGCAATTCTCCTACCTCAGCCTCCCGAGTAGCTGGGATTACAGGCACCTGCCACCACGCTTGGCTAAATTTTTTTGTATTTTTAGTAGAGATGGGGTTTCACCACGTTGGCCAGGTTGGTCTGAAACTCCTGACCTCAGGTAATCCACCCACCTCGGCCTCCCAAAGTGCTGGGATTACAGGCATGAGGCACCACGCCCAGCCAGATTGCCATTACTTTTAATGGCAAAAACCGCAATTACTTTTGCAGCAACCCAATAGTATTTAAGGTTATAAATTTCTCAGAGCTGTAGCTGTGTCCCACAAGTTTTAAAATGTGGTACTTTTGCTATCATACAATTCTGTTTTCCATTATAATTTCTTCATGTATCATTGTTAATTCCCAAACATGAGATTTTCTAATTATAAAATTATTTCTAGTTTAATATCGTAGTCAAAGAATATGTTTTGTACAATTTGCATTCTTTGAGATTGACATTTTCTTCATAGCTCAGCTAGTGGTCAGGTTTTGTAAATATCTTATGCTTGAAAAGAGTGTGAACTCTGTAATTGTTGACTGCAGCATTACATGTCAGTTGGGTTTTGTTAATGTCATTCAAATCTTCTATGTCTTGATTTACCTGCTAATTCTATTATTTTTTTCTGGAACTAAATTAGTTCAATGGTTCCATTAGTTATTGACTGTGGTGTGCTAATCTCCCATTATGTGGATTTATCTATTTCTTCAGTTGTAGATAGGACATTGATAGATACAGAAGTACTAGGACAAAAGCAGGGAGATCTTTTTTCCAAAATCAGGAGAAAAAATGACATCTGGAAAACCTATAGGGAAAGGTACAACGGATGATGATGGTACTTTTATCTTTAGTAGAAGAGAGAGCCCTCCTGTGGCAACATGGAGAAGGGAAGAGGTCATAGAATTGAGGAGTCAGCTCAGTTAGAAGCAGAGAATTGGGAATTCTGTTCATGTGATTTAGCATCAGTGATATGGCAAATGTGGGACTAAGGGTGGTGATCAGAGGGTTAAAATTGTGTGTTTGTTTTAGCGCTGCTGGGACATCGCCTTGGGTCCCCTCAAACAGATTCCCATGAACCTCTTCATCATGTACATGGCAGGCAATACTATCTCCATCTTCCCTACTATGATGGTGTGTATGATGGCCTGGCGACCCATTCAGGCACTTATGGCCATTTCAGCCAGTAAGTATTCTTGAAACAATAACCCTTCCATAAGTTTGAAGAATTAAAGGCAGGCTGGGCATGGTGGCTCACGCCTGTAGTCCCAGCACTTTGGGAGGCCAAGGTGGGTGGATCATCTGACGTCAGGAGTTCAAGACCAACCTGGCCAACATGATGAAACCTTGTCTGTACTAAAACTGCAAAAATTAGCTGGGCGTGGTGGCACACGCCTGTAATCCCAGCTGCTCGGGAGGCTGAGACAGGAGAATCACTTGAACCTGGGAGGCAGAGGGTGCAGTGAGCTGAGATCACACCACTGCACTCCAGCCTGGGCGACAGAACAAGACTCCATCTCAAAAGAAAGAAAGAAAGGCATATTCTTAGGGACAGTTTTTGGCTAACGAGTATGTAGGGGAGTGGGGTAATGGTGGTGGCATGGAGGGGAATGTAGTGCTTACCATGGTTTTCTCTTTGCCTTTAATGGTCCTATTTGCTGTCTTACTATGGGTCTGTCTATATGAATTTAATATATGGTTGGCTTGATTCATATTGGGGGAAAGAGTTCTTTTTGTTTGACAACTTCTGTTACCCCAACAGCTTTCAAGATGTTAGAAAGTTCAAGCCAGAAGTTTCTTCAGGGTTTGGTCTATCTCATTGGGAACCTGATGGGTTTGGCGTTGGCTGTTTACAAGTGCCAGTCCATGGGACTGTTACCTACACATGCATCGGATTGGTTGGCCTTCATTGAGCCCCCTGAGGTAAGGCAAAAGAAAAGCTGAATTTTGGGTAGTTGTAGTGGACAGCGAATAGCTGACCTACTTGATGGTAGGGAATTAGAATTGGTATTAGAGTTTTTTTTTTTTTTTTTTGGCCCGGGGGGGGGTGGGGCGGAGTCTTGCTCTGTCACCCAGGCTGGAGTGCAGTGGCATGATCTCAGCAACCTCCGCCTCCTGGGTTCAAGCAATTCTCCTGCCTCAGCCTTCCAAGTGGCTGGGATTATAGGCGCCCGCCACCACGCCCAGCTAATTTTTATGTATCTTTTAGTAGAGACGGGGTTTCACCATGTTGGCCAGGCTGGTTTTGAACTCCTGACCTCGAGTGATTTGCCTGCCTCGGCCTCCCAAAGCGCTAGGATTACGGGCGTGAGCCACTGTGCCTGGCTTAGGGTTTCTTAAAAAATAAGAGCCATTAGGAGTTTTTAAGTTGTTATTTTTATTTTTTTGAGAGGGAGTCTCACTCTGTTGCCCAGGCTGGAGTACAGTGGCGCCATCTTGGCTCACTGCAACCTCCGCCCCCTGGGTTCAAGCAATTCTCCTGCCTCAGCCTCCCTAGTAGCTGGAATTACAGGTGTCTGCCACTGTACCCGGCTAATTTTTGTATTTTTAGTAGAGATGGGGTTTCACCATGTTGGCCAGGCTGGTGGTGTGCTCCTGACCTCAGGTGATCCACCCACCTCGGCTTCCCAAAGTGCTGGGATTACAGGTGTGAGCCACCACGCCTGGCCAAGTTGTATTTTTGAAACAAGGTCCTGCTCTGTCAGCCAGGCTGGAGTGCAGTCGTGTGATCATGGCTCACTGCAGCCTTGACCTCCGGGCTCAAGCACTCAGCTTCTCAAGTAGCTGGGACCACAGGTTGCACCCCCGTGGCTCGCTAATTTTTGTATTTTTTGTAGCGACAGGGTTTCACCATGTTGCCCAGGCTGGTCTTGAACTCCTGGGCTCAAGCGATCTGCCTGCCTTGGCCTTCCAAAGTGTTTAGCTAAGATTAGCTACTTCGCCTGGCCTGGAAGTTCTTTTTTAAGGATAGGCAAAATAGAGCTGTGGTTAAAGTATTAAGTAATTGATTCATTTTAACACTCATTTGCCTATTTATTCTTTCTTCTTTCAGAGAATGGAGTTCAGTGGTGGAGGACTGCTTTTGTGAACATGAGAAAGCAGCGCCTGGTCCCTATGTATTTGGGTCTTATTTACATCGTTCTTTAAGCCCTCAGCATACTCTTTTTTTTTTTTTTTTTTTTTTTGAGGCGGAGTCTCGTTCTGTGGCCCAGGCTGGAGTGCAGTGGCCGGATCTCAGCTCACTGCAAGCTCCGCCTCCTGGGTTTACGCCATTCTCCTGCCTCAGCCTCCCGAGTAGCTGGGACTACAGGTGCCGGCCACCTCACCCGGCTAGTTTTTGTATTTTTAGTAGAGACGGGGTTTCACCGTGTTAGCCAGGATGGTCTCGATCTCCTGACCTCGTGATCCGCCCGTCTCGGCCTCCCAAAGTGCTGGGATTACAGGCTTGAGCCACCGCGCCCGGCTGCATACTCTTAAAGTAATCACTTATGTTAAAAAGAACCAAAAGGCTCTTTTCTTCATGGTGGGGTGACAGGTCCTACAAGGACAATGTGCATATTACTACAAACACAAAGAAACTATACCACAACCCATGACTGAAAATAATGTAGAAAACTTTATTTATGTTTCCAGTACAGAGCAAAACAACAAATAAAATCGTAACTATGTAAACGAGAATAATTGCTGCTAAATCAAAACTGTCGCAGCATCTCCTTTCAATAAATTAAATGGTTGAGAACAATGTGTAAAAAAAAGTTGCACAAGTTCCCTTAAATCTATTTTCCTTAATATTTCACTTCTATTTAAAACAAGCTGGGACATAAAAATTCTGTTGGAGACACTTGGGGAAGATGTGAGCAACTAATGCTGGATTCAGCTTATACATGATGAAAAATAAACCAGACAAAAGGAGCACATAAATATGCATACAGTGTAACTGTTATTTTAATACCCACAATAAGGGATTTTTGTTAGCATGTTTGGGGGAATGAGGATTGGTGGGATTCTTGGGGCCACAGGAATCTGAGGCAATGGAAGATACATAGAGTGATCTTCCCCCTGCCGAGAGGAAACTGGCACCTGTCAAGCAGATGCTGTCAGTTCAAACTTCAGCTTTTAAGATAGCTATTCAAGGCAGAAGGTCAGCAGGAGGATGTGTATTTCTAATCTGCCCTGGTAAAGTCATAGGTAAGACTCAAAAGCAGGATCTTACTCAAAAGGCAGGTATTTCCTGCCTTCTGTCTTGAAACAGCCCCTTCCCCTAAGGTGCATTCTCTCAAGTCTTCAGTATTGCTTTATTTGCAGTGATTTTTAAAAAGAGATGAGAGACTTTGGAGACAACATAAGCAACACATATAGACATGAAGTGCTCTAGACAGAGATGAATATAAATCTGGCCTGATAACCAGTTTTCCGTGTAACAGTGATTTTGTGTTTCAGGGGCTGAAGTAGTGGTTATATTAATAGCCACTAATTCCCTTATCCCTTTAAAAGATTTTTACAGTTCTCCAGCCACAAACAGCACTTCTAAAACCAACTTTATTTTCTGCCCATAATTTGTTCTACATGGAAAAAAAAAATTACTTTGGCCAGGGGCGTGTGTAAATGTGGCAGAATTCCTAGGTAGGCTGACCTTTACAGTATGGGCCTTTAAGATACAGGATCCTGGTCAGGCGCGGTGGCTCACGCCTATAATCCCAGCACTTTGGGAGGCCAAGGCAGGCAGATCACCTGAGGTTGGGAGTTCGAGACCAGCCTGACCAACATGGAGAAACCCCATCTCTACTGAAAATACAAAATTAGCCGGGCGTGGTAGCACATGCCTGTAATCCCAACTACTCAGGAGGCTGAGGCAGGAGAATCGATTGAACCCAGGAGGCAGAGGTTACGGTGAGCCAAGATTGTGCCATTGCACTCAGCCTGGGCAACAAGAGCAAAAGTCCGTCTCGGGAGGGGAGGGAATAAAAAAAAGGTACTGGATCCTGCAGGACATGACTCACTACTGTTAACTAAGCAATGGAGTGTTGCAGTGGGAGTTGTAAACAATGCTTCTACCATCTGTGGAAGGAACAGAAAAAACGACGTAAGATTCTATCTGCTTTGCCATCCTGAGTGGGCCTGGAGGTTGAAGAAAGCAGGAGCAAATCAAAATTACTCAAATTTTTTTTTTTTTTTTTTGAGACCAAGTCTTGCTCTGTTGCCCAGGCTGGAGTGCAGTGGCGTGATCTTGGCTCACTGCAAGCTCCACCTCCCGGGTTCATGCCATTCTCCTGCCTCAGCCTCTCGAGTAGTTGGGACTACAGGTGCCCGCCACCATGCCCGGCTAATTTTTTTGTATTTTTAGTAGAGACGGGGTTTCACCGTGTTAGCCAGGATAGTCTCGATCTCCTGACCTCGTGATCCACCCGCCTCAGCCTCCCAAAGTTGCTGGGATTACAGGCGTGAGCCACTGCGCCCAGCCCAAAATTACTCAATTTCTTAAGCTATACTGAAGGGTTTTCTCTGTCCTCACAGGTCAAATGAATAATTTCTGACACCTAGATCAGCTTGCTCCATGTCCTATTGAGTAATCAAAGAACAGTGGCACTATTTGTGACTAATAAATTGAAATTCAAAAACAGCCATGAATACAGGCAAGAAAAGTTTCTCTAAATACCTATTCGGTAAAAGAAATGAAGATTTCACATATTTGAAAGTACTGCTCAGCCAACCACATGAGTAGTTTCCCTATGCTTGTAAGCCAGATGTTGTTTGATCAGTAAATTAGTAAATAAAAAGCTAAGCTTACACAAGTATTTCCTTGGCACACTGAACTTTCTTTTTTCTTTTTCAGACATATCAATCACTCTGTTACCCAGGCTGGCGTGCAGTGGTGCAATCCTGGCTCACTGCAACCTCCGCCTCCTGGGTTCAAACGATTCTCCTGCCTTAGCCTTCCGTGTTGCTGGGATCACAGGCATGCGCCACCATGCCCGGCTGATTTTTGTATTTTTCGTAGAGACAGGTTTTCACCATATTGGCCAGGCTGGTCTCGAACTCCTGACCTCAAGTGATTCACCTGCCTCGGCCTCCCAAAGTGCTGGGATTACAGGTGTGAGCCATGGCACCTGGCCTGAAGTTTCTGAAAACAAATAGAAGGCTTGGCTTGGTTAATCTTAGTTCAGAGCCAAGTTCATGTAGTCAGAATGAAAAATAAAATTGAAAGAAAAAGGGGAAAATGCTTATACTTGGCATTAAGGTGAATGCCTCAAGTCTTAACTACAGCTTTGTAGATGAGGCAAAAGATTTCTTAGTGGTAAAATTTCTTCAACAGGTCAATGCCAATGTGTATGCCATTTTAGCACAGTAGGTAAGGAGAGTAGCCGCTCAGTAACGTTGGCACCAAGGAAAGAGTATGGCTCTAGAACTTCCAATTCCACTGCTAGATATGCCCTTTAAAAGATGGCCCAGTGCTTTCAGGGAAGGATGTTTAGCCAGTTTTCCTAGTACTTGTTCCTTAAGATTTTTTGACCTGTGCTTAATAAGAGGGCATAAAAAAAGGCGCGGGGGTGGATGCAGTGGGGAGAAGAACCTATTGGTTAATGTGCACCATGACCTGCATTTCTTAGATAACAGCTTGTATGTTTTGTCCACGTTGCATAGAGAATCACAGACTATTTCAGTAAATGTTAATAGCTTCCTTTTGGAGTTCTCTTAGTTTGGCCATTTGAAAAGAACCTGAAAGAAATAATTTTTACCTTACCAAAAACAATTTCCATGGTAACATTGCCTGTGTTACAATGACAGAATGGGTTTTGAGTTAAGAGAAATAGTTGAAGTATACACTGACACAGTATGGATACTTAAATCTGGTATTTTGGGGGAATGTTTTCGAAGAAGTAGAGGCTACAGCCATGTTTCAAGTTGGTATCCTAATATAAAGTTAGAGCAGTGGGTATACTAAAGAAATATAGCTAAAAAATGTTTGCATCTTGGCTTGCCAAGGATAATAGGTCTAAATATACTTGACCATAAATTCTTTAGTAAGGTGAAGCTGTCTCTAGTTGTTATCCCCACGGTGTCATCACTGGACCACGACTTCTGAGATTCATCTTTAATGCTGAATATTTACTTGACTTGCTTTTTTTTCTTCAGTTGAATTTCTGGTATCCCTTTTACCAATTCATTTATTGGCTCAGCTTGTTAATTCTAATTTGCCTTTGATTGCTCAGACGTGGCTCATAAGACTTGAACATTGTTCTGAGTTGAGGGAATATTTGCTTTTTCTGTAAGGACTGCAGATCAGATGGGAGCTCTTTTACACAGGTACTTGAGGCTCAGCTCATCAAGAGTTCAGTATGATGTGTACAGAACATAGGCTTCTAGTTGAGTAGGAGTGGTAGTAATGAGCTGGCACTTCCATGGAGGATGTAGGCCTTTTAAGAAAACAGGCCAAGCACAGTCATTCAGAGTAGGTTATGAATAAATGGTGATCACTTCACTGCCACCACCCCGGACAAGTAGGACTCGCTCTAGTCCCTCGGTAAGCACCTCTAGGAACTCCATGTCTTCAAAACTTGTCAAGGAGACAGGCAAAAGAAGAGCACAAACTTACAATCTGGCATCATCATAATCTGAGGTTATCTGATCATAGAGCTACAAAATTAGCTGCTTAATTATTATATATTCAGAAAAGTCTGAACTTTGAATTTAACCCTGTGCAGAAGTAACCAGGGATCCAGTCCTTTTGCATATATAATACAAGACTCCCATTTGTGTTAACTTTAAAAATGGGAAAACCTACAAGTGTTATTCTAAGTAAGATAAAAATGATGAAAGAAGAAAAAAAGCCACAATAGGGCAGCTAACAAGGTTCCTACAGAGAACCCAAGTAATTTCTAAGTGAAGCTGCTCAAGTCAGATTTTTCTGCCAGTTCGATTTGTCTTTTTCTTTTTAAACCTTTTTTTCTTTTTTTTTTTTTGAGACAGAATTTCCTCTGTTGCCCAGGCTGGAGTGCAATGGTGCGATCTTGGCTCACTGCAACCTTCGCCTCCTGGTTCAAGTGATTCTCCTGCCTCAGCCTCCCAAGTGGCCGGGATTACAGGCACCCGCTACCACACGCAGCTAACTTTTGTATTTTTAGTAGAGACAGGGTTTCACCATGTTGGCCAGCTTGGTCTTGAACTCCTGACCTCAGGTGATCCACCCGCCTCAGCCTCCCAAAGTGCTGGGACTACAGGCGTGAGCCACCACACCCGGCCTAAACCTCTTTTTCTTAATGGCACTGGTGGGAATAAACTAATTTATGTGTCAGTGCTGAAGGGTTTCCCTTATCCCCGGAGTCCTGCGATGAAGGTATGAGGAAGAATACCTATCTCTTTTCCCTCAGTTAAAGGAGGTTCTATCTCAGCTTCTCCCCTAACTCTATCCAAAAGAAAAAGGCTTTGCAAAGCAGGTAGAACCTAAAAAGGAGAAAGGATGTGGGTACGCTGTCTGTAGGATTGTCAGGAAGGGTTTTATACACTGAATATTCGATGTCATGTTGCAAATACACCACCTGAAACGTCTTTTAGAACTGAATTATATTTGCCCCAACTCCCCTAAAAGAGATTCGTCTTACAACTTTGTAAAAATCTTTGCCTAAGACTTTTAAGTCTTCCTTCCTTAAAGAGGGAAAGTGGGGCATAGACAATGACTTTTATTGTTACCTAGTTAGAAAGAGGATAAGGAGATCTTCCCTACTGGAAGCACCACTCTTGGAAAGGATACAGTTTTCATCACCCTCAGGGTTTCGGGGTGGCCCTGGCATATTCAATAAAACCAGCTTTGCTTCATGGGACTTGTTAACTATAACCTCGTTGAGTTTCACTGCTGTATGCATCCGCCTCACATTGGACTGGTCCCTGAGTGGGAAGAAATAAAGGTTGTTAAGGTAAAAAGAAAAC